GTTAACTTACCTAGGTGATAATCCGTTGCAGATTCACTTGATCTAATCCAAGAAAATTGATCAAGAACCATGAAGATTTCAAAGGAGACAAAGAAGCTCGAAAAGTACTTTACCATGCAACCAGAGAAAATAAGAGCAACACCTGCACCAAATCCAAACAAGTGATTGAATCTATTAGCCTCCTTGGCATCGTAATCTGCAAAGAAAATCATCTAAAACATCAACGGTAGATTCAACAACAGTGATTTCCCCACCAAAGCTCAAGGGCAATGTTTCTATAAACAGAAAGAGTCGTTGATGATCATATTACAACTTGCCAGCACTATAGTTAGACTGGTAAATAAAACCTTCACAAATTTTATATGACCAACTGCAACCGAAAAAAATTGCAGACCAAGATATAAAAGATTGCTAGCATACATAAGAAGGAAACGAAGATGAAGAATCAGGTAAAACTAACCTAATATCACTACAACAAAAACTGACGGTAGCAACAGAAGCAAAAGTGGATTCAACATTCGAACAGTAACAAAAAGTTGCTTCAACTACATCTCAACACAATAGTAGAAGACCTTTCAGTGGCATCAAAACCAACACATTGCAATCAGTTGAAGTATCTATTCAGAAGTTAAACAAATGCATTCACTCACTTAAATTCACCTCGTGGTAGAAGTTAGTTGTACGTAAAATGTAAATTGATTTGAGATGCTATGGACAACTTTATCGTAACGCACTCTTTGTTGTCTCTGCATATATATATTTCTTTGTGCAACTTCACGGTAGCCTCTGTATACCAAGTACAAATACAAATGTACTAAATTTTACTTCCACTTGTATTAACTCAAGTAAGAACTGACATATTAGACTTGTAAACAGATAGAGATTCAAACAGTTCTTTTAGATTTATTATAAGAAGTGCATTTAGACAATTCTTTAAGTTGACTATATTAGACATTTAGGTGCATCCCCTAGGATTCAACAAGCTCTTCTAGTATAAACTAGGAGTAGAAATAACAAAGATTAATCAAAAGAAAACCCAGCACAAAAGAAGAAGAAGAAAAGTTTTTACATTTTCACATTCTCCAAAACGAACACCAACATATACTTATATATAGATAATATTTATATATTATCCAAAAAGGAGATGAACATCTCATAGGTAATGAAAAACGTTAAACTCCATTAACGAGTCAAATGCCAAAACTTCAAATTCATTTAAGGCTATCAACTTTAAAATTATTTAAGACCAAAGAAGCATTAGCTATCAAAGTTAAGGAAATGTTATCAAAATTAACGTTAAGGAAACGGTCATCCAAGACCAACTTTGGTCAGATTCAAAGTTATAAAAAGATAACCGACTTTGATAGCCATTCAATATTAATAAAATATTATATTTAAAGTTATTATAATGTACCATTACACACATTAAAATATTTTCAAATTGATTGTATAATAAATACCCATTAACATAATGTTAAAAGAATGAATCTAAATATCAATTTAAATATTTCTTTTTGAGTTATTAAAATTATTTTTCTAACAATCCCCCACATAACTCAAAAAGAATATTATAAAAAAAATTCAATGGGTTTCACAAATAAGCATAATGCGTCGAATCTGGTGTCTCTTAGACTATGAACCAAACCTAGATAAAATAAGAATAAACTTACAGAACAATTGGTGAAGTTTAAAACTTCTATGAACCAAGAATTCTTTTGTAAATTTAGTGTCTTATCTATCACATTATACTCGCACAAACTTTGTTGTTTGACGCGGTTTTGCTCTAATAGGCCATGCGCGCGCCTGCTTTTTATGAGTGCTCTAGAAATTTTGCCACAAATTCCATAGGAGCGGCCCCACTCCACACTCATATAGGTCCATCCATCAAGTGTATTCTGCAGTGCAATACTGATAATAGGCTATATAGTTGTTATTTACACCATAATTGCCCATGCTTTGTTGTTGTTTTATAATGTAAGTTGCCAATAAAATGCTTTAATTGATACTATTTGGTTTTGCAGGGAATATAAGATGTGAGGAAGCAACATGAAGTGTTTAGAGGCAATAACGTGAAGAAAACACCCACTCAAGAAGTACCCGAACACAAAAGAGCTAAAAGAGAAGGAACGTGGAGAAGAAAAGGCTCAACAGTTCTCACTGCGATTGCCACCGCGGTCCGCGCCGCGGTTTGGGTCAGTGCTTCCCGCGGTCAGCACCGCGGCCGCGACGAGTTGTCCACAGTCTAGAAATTCAAGGAGTCAAAGCGACAATTCGGGGGAAACTATTTGTAAAACCCTTATAAGATGTAGAAACTCGCCCAAGACGAGGGGAGGCTGATTATTGGAGATTACTTTTGCATGAAGAACAAGTGTGAGAGATCACCCAAAACATCATAGTTCTTATTCTCTTCTATTTTTCTTGTAATTTTTCATTATGAATATTTTCGTAGTTTATTCTTACGTTGTCATGAGTAGCTAAATACTTTAATCTAAGGTTTTGGTGAAACCCGTTGGGGATGACTTGGTTATGATAGTAATATAATTTGAATTGGTTGTTAATCTCTATTTGTTCATCTACATTTTGATTGTGGTTAGTTGAAAGGGCCCTCAATTATCCGTTCCTATTTATTATGTATCTTCTTGAGAGAGAGTGCATATTTAGGTAGTTGTTTGAACAACATCACTCCCGGAGTATAGACGAGAGTCATAACCGAGGGTTTAGAGGTTGGATTAGAGATAACGATACCTCGGGTGCAATCTAAAAGAACGGTAATGTGAATCTAGCTAGCGTAGCTTGAGAGAGTGCGTCTAGTAAATTATCATAATTGCTTGAGAGAGATTTATGATAGCTGGAGAGTTCTTGATTGATAGAGATAACTAAGACATCTCTATAAGAAACATACAACCAAGGAAATCACCAACGGGGGAAACCATTACCTTAGACCTTATTCCAACTGTTTACACATCAAGCATAGTTAATTTTCAGCTGTTAATTATTTTCAGTTTTTAGTTGTTAGAAATATCATCAATTGTGAATTACGAAGTTTGGGGGAAATTGATTATGTGAATTTAGTAAATCCGACAAAAGTAATTGATAGGTTAATTCTCTGTGGTTCGACTCTGAGCAAGAATTACTCAGATTATATTTGCTACGTCCGTATGTGTCCTTGTATAAGGCATAGTTTGGCGTTATCAAATTTTGGCGTCGTTGCCGGGGACTTAACGGTGTTATCAATTACAATTGAGAGATGTACAAAAATTCTAAGTGTAGTCAGTTTTCTCTATACCCAATCTTTTTATTGAAATTCTAACGTTTGAGCTCTTGTGGAAAGTAGGTGTATGCCTAGAAGTTCTTCGAGGACTGGAGAACTGCTAGAAGGACTCTCAGACCCTGAGAAAACATTCAGGTCATTGAACCGTGCCAACAAAAGACTTCAACAATCTCAATAATCACACCAACTCGAATTTGACATGGGTGACGTAGATAACGTCAACAGTAACATTAGGAATGAGCCAACTGACTTAAATGTCAGAGGGGTGGCATCTCTTGTGCCCAAAGCTGCACTTTATGACTGGGCACAACCCACAACTGATAATCTGGCCACTGCCATAGCTGTGCCCGCAATTCAAGCGGAGACATTCCAGATCACCAACAACATGCTGCATCTGCTGTATAATAAGGGACTGTTCTCCGGGTCACACATTGAAGACCCACAATAACACTTGAATTTTTTTTGTCAATTTGTATGACCCAAAGGCAGCCAAATGCGACTCCATAAGCTATCAAGTTGCTACTGTTTCCATTCTCGGTAACCGGGGAAGCTCAGACTTGGCTAAATTCACTCCATATCAACTCTATTACCACCTGGGAGGAATTAGTCAAGCAGTTCCTAAACAAGTTCTATCCGCCTAACAAGACTGCAAAACAGATTGATGACATATTGCAGTATAGGCAGCAACCCACTGAGTCTTTGCAAGAAACTTGGGAAAGATTTAAAGGGATGTTAGTAAAGTGTCCTCACCATGGCATTCCAGACCAGATGCTCGGCCAGAGATTCTACATGGGGCTAGCTGACAATTTGAAAGCAAATGTGGATGCTTCAGCTGGAGGTGCATTTTTAAGTAAAACATTCATTGAGTGCAAAATCCTTCTTGATAAGATGTCACAAAATTCAGGGTGGATGACTAGAGGTACAACACTGGCATCCATAGTGCATTCAGTTCCTCTTGACCCAAATAATTCGCATGTAGAGAACATGGCCACACTCATGACCCAGATGAGTATATTGACAAAGAAGATTGATAAACAGGTGCACATTGTTGATACAACAAATGAGGGACTGTGTACACCTTGTATTAATCAGTCTTATGCATGTTCATGGAGCGGAGAAGGTGAAAATCAAAGGGCAAGTGAAGATATGAATTATGTCAACAACTATGGGGTCAGAGGCAAGGATCACAACAGTGGAGACCGCAACAAAATCAGCAGTACATGCCTAATATGCAGTAGCCTGGGGGTATGCACCCTCAAACCAATTAGTGCCAGTGCCATATCAGAAACCACGGGGCTATCCACAGCAAAATCAGCAACAATTGACATACCAACCACCCCCTCAGCAGCAAAATAACAACATGGTGAAAATCAGGGGTATGCTTCAGCAACTCATTGGGACAAATAATAAAGTGCAGGAAAAATTGGCAGTGCATGATTCAGCCATAAAGAATATTGAAACGCAGCTGGGTCAACTGTTCATGGCTTTGAACAACCGTCCTCAGGGAACTTTGCCTGCAGACACAAACATAAACCCCAAGAACCAAAACCCGAATCAGCTGATGGCAGTAAGTCTTCGGAATGGGAGAGATTTAGACAGAGAGCAGGAAATTGCACAAGCCAGCAAGGATACTACGCCATCCACTCCAGTTCAATTAGAGGTAAAGGAACCAACAGAACTTACTGAAGTGGTGGTTGAGTAGAGTCAGGAGGAAAAAGGCAAAGAAAAGATGAATGACCAAGTTGCAGAACATGTGGCACCTCTTGTGCCAGAAAATTCTAACAGAGAGAATCCAGCAAGCAATGCACAAAGGGTGATACCTGCACCCTTCCCTCAGAGACTGGTCAAACAAAAGAAGGCAGACCAATACAAGAAGTTCATGGAGATGCTGCGTCAAATTCAGTTGAATATTCCTTTGATGGATGCCTTGAGGGAGATGCCTGCCAAGATGATGAAAGATCTAATGTCACAGAAGTTTGATTTTCAGGATCTATCCACTGTAACTCTAACACAGACCTGCAGCACAGTGATGGCAAAACGGATGGCTCAAAAGATGTCGGACCTAGGTAGCTTCACTATTCCATGCACAATTGGAAGTTATGCCTTTGCAAAGGCGTTGTGTGATTTGGGAGCCATCATAAATCTGATGCCACTGGCTGTGTACACCAAACTGGGCATTGGCATAGCTAGGCCAACTTCGATGCTGCTATAACTGGATAACCGCACAGTGAAGAGGCCCACTGGTATTCTTGATGATGTGTTGGTGCAAGTGGGGAAGTTCGTGTTCCCTGCAGACTTTGTTATCCTGGATTGTCAGGTGGATGAGGAGATACCCTTTATTTTAGGGAGACCATTTTTAGCCACTGGGAGAGCACTGATCGACTGTGAGACTGGGGAATTAAAAATGAGATTGAACGATGAAGAAGTTATATTCAATGTTCAGAAATCTATGAGGAGTCCTAGTGAATATGCTAATTGCTCTCTAGTGGAGGTCGTGGATGTAATCCTGCAATAAGATGATATGACCCTAACTGTAAAAGATCCATTGGAGGCATGTCTGACGAATTTAGAAGAAATGGATGGTGAAGGGTTAGTTTAATGGGTCATGGCACTGGAAGGCCGAGGATTTTGGTCAAGGGAACCTCAGTTCGAGTCCCTTGAGCTAGAAAAAAGGGACACTCCTCCAGCAAAGCCATCAATAGAGGAACCACCCAAGTTGGAACTGAAGCCACTCCTAGATCACCTCAGGTATGTGTTCTTAGGCCCTGATTCGACCTTGCCTGTTATTATATCATTCGGTTTGCTAGATGTGCAGGTAGAACGACTCTTACACGTACTGCAGAAAAACAAGACTGCCATTGGTTGGACTATGGCAGACATAAAGAGTATCAACCCAGCCTTCTATATGCATAAGATTCTACTGGAGGAGGGGCACAGATATTCCAGGGAACACCAGCGAAGGTTGAACCCAAAAATGAAAGAGGTTGTAAAGAAAGAAGTGATCAAATGGCTAGATGCGGGAATCATCTTCCCCATCTCTGATAGTAATTGTGTCGGCCCTATCCAATATGTACCGAAAAAGGGGGGAATGACTGTTGTAAAAAATGAGAACAATGAGTTGATCTCAACTCGTACAGTCACAGGGTGGCGTATCTACATGGATTACAGGAAATTGAACACAGCCACCTGGAAGGACCATTTCCCCTTACCCTTCATTAACTAAATGTTGGACAAGCTGGCTGGGCGATCGCACTTTTGTTTCTTGGATGGATATTCGGGGTACAATCAGATATCAATAGCCCCCAAAGATAGAGAGAAAACATCCATCGCCTGTCCATATAGCATCTTTGCCTTTCGGAGAATGCCTTTTGGGCTTTGCAATGCACCCTCGACTTTTCAACGGTGCATGTTAGCCATATTCACAGACATGGTAGAGGATATTATGGAGGTCTTTATGGATGATTTCTCCGTGGTGGGAGATTCATTCGAAGACTGTCTTTACAACTTAAGGAGAGTGCTTAAAAGATGTGTGGAGACAAACTTAGTGCTAAACTGGGAGAAGTGTCATTTTATGGTACAAGAAGGTATAGGCCTGGGGCATCGAGTGTCCAGTAAAGGAATTGAGGTTGACCATGCTAAAGTTGACGTGATTGAGAAGCTACCACCGCCCACTTCAGTCAAGGCGGTGAGAAGTTTTCTTGGACACGCTGGGTTCTACCGGCGTTTCATAAAAGATTTTTCCAAAATTGCTAACCAATTATGCAAACTCCTTGAAAAGGATCAGCCCTTTGTGTTTTCTAATGATTGTAGGTTGGCATTTGACGAACTGAAGAAGAGGTTCATAACTGCACCCATCATTGTTGCACCCAACTGGGAGCAACCATTTGAGCTCATATGTGATGCCAGCGACTATGCTATAGGAGCAGTCTTGGGGCCGTGAAGAGATAAGCTGATGCACCCGATTTACTATGCAAGCAGAACGCTAAGCGGTGCACAACTCAATTACACAGTGACGCAGAAGGAGATGTTGGTAGTGGTGTTTGCTTTTGACAAGTTCCGATCATATCTGATTGGTTCCAAGGTAATTGTATATACTGACCATGCAGCTCTCAGGTACCTAATTGAGAAAAGGAGTCTAAGTTGCGCCTGGTTCATTGGGTACTACTGTTGCAAGAATTCGACCTCAAAATTCGTGACCGTAAGGGCACAGAAAATCAAGTCGATGATCATCTATCGCGACTTGAATGAGCTGAAAAATCAGTCGAGGTCGAAGATATCCTGGAAACCTTTCCAGACGAGCAGCTGCTCGCAGCCAGTCTTGAGGATGCGCCATGGTATGCAGATTTTGCAAACTACCTAGCCTGCAGTATTGTTCCCTATGACCTTTTATCTGTCCAAAAGAAAAAGTTTTATCGTGATTGTCGCATGTATTATTTGGACGAGCCTTATTTGTTTAGAATCTGTGTTGATAATATGATCCGGAGGTGTGTCCCCGAGGTAGAACAATCTTCTGTTTTGCAGGCTTGTCACACATCAGCATATGGAGGACATTTTGGAGGAGCCAGGACAGCTGCGAAAGTGCTAGAGGCCGGGTTCTTTTGGCTAACAGTGTTTAGAGATGCACACCTATGGGTGAAGGGCTGCGATGAATGTCAGTGAACTGGGAACATTTCCCGTCGCCATGAGATGCCCATGAATCTGATTCAAGAGGTAGAGGTGTTTGATGTTTGGGGGATTGACTTCATAGGCCCCTTCGTCAGCTTGTGGCAATAAGTACATACTTGTTGCCGTGGATTACATGTCTAAATGGGTGGAAGCTGCAGCGTTGCCCACTAATGATGAAAGAGTGGTGATAGGTTTTGTGAAAAATAACATATTCACCCGATTTGGGATACCAAGACCGATCATCAGTGATGGAGGCACTCACTTCTGTAACAGAGCCTTCGAGAAATTGCTTGCAAAGTATGATGTACGCCACAAGGTGGCCACCCCTTACCATCCGCAAACCAGTGGGCATGTTGAAGTGTCCAATAGGGAGATAAAAAGTGTACTAACCAAGACGGTGAATGCCACACGAACTGATTGGGCAAAGAAGCTTGATGACGCACTCTGGGCATATAGAACTGCGTTCAAAACACCAATAGGTATGTCACCATACAAGTTGGTATTTGGGAAGGCCTGTCACCTACCTGTTGAGCTAGAACATCGAGCTTGGTGGTGGGCATTAAAACAATTGAACATGGATCCCGAAGCAGCTGGACAAAATTGACTGATAGAGTTGCATGAGCTGGAAGAATTTAGATATCAAGCCTTTGAAAGCATGAGGCTCTACAAGGAAAGAATGAAGAATATGTATGACAAGCACATTGTGGACAGAAATTTCAAATCCGGTGACAAGGTAATTGTATAATTCAAGGTTGAGATTGTTTCCGGGTAAGTTAAAGTCCCGATGGTCAGGGCCATTTAGAGTGGTGCAAATGTTTGCAAGTGGAGCTGTTGAGATCAAGTCAGAAGATGGGACAAACAAGCTCTCAGTAAATGGGCAAATGTTGAAACATTACCGTGGAATAGCTGAAGAAAAAGGGGATACAGTGATGATCAATTTGAAAGAACCCCAGTACGCGAATGAGGAGTGATGGCTCAACTACTTGCATCGTGCCGCGACGTTAAATCAGGCGCTGCATGGGAGGCAACCCACGAATGTGTTGTAAGTGTAGTATGTAACTTCGTGTTTAAAAAAAAAAGTTGCCAGCCGCGACCGCGACCAGGACCGCGGGAGACACTGCCTGGCGACGTAAAGTCACCGCGACTGCAGTGCGGACTGCGAAAATCACTGAAGCATTGCAAATCCTCTGAGACCGCAACGTGGACTGTGGTGTCGACCGCGGCGCGGACCGCGGTGTCGACCGTGGCGCGGACCGCGGTGTCGACCGCGGGAGACTCTGTCCTAAACCGCGGCGCGCACGACCGCGGTCGGGTACCAGGCGATAATTGTTTTTAATAATTTTTCTTTTGTTTCGTTTTCTTCAACAAAAAAAAATTTCTTCTCTTCAAATTAAAAATAAAACACAACCCCCCTTCCCCTAAATCAAACGTAACTCCCCCCTAAAGTCCCCAAATCCCTCTCTCTCTCTAAACCCTAGCCTTTCCCCCANCCCTCATACTCTTTTCTTTTTCTTCTTCTTCTTCTTTTTCTTTCACAATCACCCCTATCTTCTTCCCCCTAAGGTATGATTCCGACCCCCTTATCTTTTCTTTCCATTTATTTTTTTTGTATTATGCTAGTTAATGTTGTTCTAATGTAGTGTTAGTGATAGGATTTTGTTTTGTTTAGTTTTTTCTTCTTTTTTTTAGTGTAATTTCGTTTTTAGCATATGTTTGGTGAAGGGGATGTGTTTTGAATGTCTGGAATGGTGTTGTTGGTGGATAGTTGAATTGGGGAAGTTTTCTTGATTCCCTTGGGGCCATGAATATGAAGAAAAATGCCTTGCCCACAATGTGTTTGAGAAATTGCCTCAATGGAGATATAAGGAGATGTTGTGACATGGTTGTGGTGAAGTCTGAGTAACCACGCATAGTCACACATTTTAGGCTCATCCTAACACGCGTTTCTCTATTTTGACAGGTATTATGAGTTCAGCCCGTAAGAGACGAAACACCGGGTCCTTTGCTAGTGGCCTAGGAGGCTCCTCATGAGCTAGGGGCCAAACCAGTGCACCACGATTTGATAGCACTCAGTTCATCTCTGTAGAAGCAGAGGCAAGGTACAATCAAAAACTTGCCAAGAAGTTACTCCATGAGGTCCATATCGACATGAAGGCATTGGTGAAGGAATGCCCCAATATGTTTGATGAGCTACGGGGGTGTCAGCTGGACATCTTTTTTGAGGCTCCCGAGTAAGTCAATATTTAGCTAGTGAGGGAGTTCTATGCAAACCTGCCAGAACACGAGGACAAGGTTGTGACTGGGCGCAACACCCCGGTTAATGCTTCTATATAGGTCATCCGCAGAGTGTATCGCCTCCCCGCATTCACGGGTGATGATCATTACATCATGGCTAGTCGCCCGATGGTTGACTGGGACAGAATTTTGGAGGTCATTTGTATACCTGGCAGACAACCCAAATGGGTAGCACAACCGACGACTCTGCACTCCAAGTCTCTTACTTGGGAGGCCAAATGTTGGCTCACTATCATCACCACTCGGTTGCTACCATCCAGCAATACCACCGATGTAAATGGGCCACTAGCCGCTATGATCTACTGCTTCATGACTCACCAAGGGTTTGATGTCGCCCGAGTCCTCTCTGAAGAAATGTTCATCCGATTGCCCGAACTAAGAAAAGGCCACTACTTCCCTTCGCTTGTCACCCGTCTATGCCACCTTGCTAATGTTCCTGAGAACTTTCGAGTTGATGGGAAATTACCTAAAAAAACCCTTTCCGGGCGAGAAAAATTGGGCAAGAGGGAAGAGAGCCGGTACAACACAATGACGACTCGTCTGAGTCTGAGGATG